ACCAATGCTCATAGTCTAGAACAAGGGAAGTGAGTAAGACAGTGGGTGATTCAGGAATGGGAGCTCAGAGGCAGAGGGACCAGAGGCTCAGGCATCAGTCATTCTGGAAGCTTACTGCAAGGGCTCTCCATGAAGTGCAGAGGGCTGTAGACACAGGCTAAACACACCCATAGTAGGAGCACACCAACATCCTACAGAGCTGGGTCTGGGGGATGTTTCATGGCTAGGGGAAAGCAAGCACTTGTTATATAATTTTGAGCTAAATATTATACAATTATGAAAGCATCAGAGAGGAAACAGCAGAGACTGCTGCCTGAGGACAGTGGATGCTTCTGGCACATGTTCTTTCCAACACTGAAACTAATTTATGTGACACATGCAGAAAATGCCACCTCAGAACAAAAGTACACAGGACACAGATATCTTACCTACCAATAATGCTAGTCCTCACTCTTATACTGAGAAATTTAAAATATTTTGCCCATTGTCAACCTCTAAACCTGGTATCTAAGATTGTGAAAATAGGGATTTGAATCAAAACATGAGCTGAATTTTAAATAACAAATACTTTTTACTAAAATATCAACAAAGCCAAATATACTTTTAAAAATACATCTAAAGAACTTGTTTAAATCAGAATCAAATCTGAGCATCTGCCACCAAACAAAACAAAAATATACAAAATTTATTCTACCCCATTTTAAGGGTACTATAAAGATACTTACATGTTCCTAGCATGGGTAGACTAGGATATTCATTCGTCAAAGATTATGTTTACCAAGTATTTGGGGAGTCCCAGAAGAAAAATTCTTATGTGTAGTATAACTACAACTATGAAAAATATACACACATACAGAGTAGTTACCTTTGGGGAGAAGAGAGGGGGTAAGATTTGGGAGGAATATTGAGAGGGCTCCTGGGATGCTGGTGGTGGTCTATATCTTAACCTGAGTGATGGGTACATGGGCATGGGGATTCTTGATAACATATTGAGCTGCACACTTAAAATCTGTGTATTTTCCAGTATGAATGTTACACTTTAATTAAAAATTTTCTTTAAAAAGGACTGAAAAGAAACATTAATATGGTATAACATTCTTTATGGAGTGGTGGGAATCTTTTTCTTTATTTTTATATTTCTTTCCATCATGAGAAAAAAGATAAATTTTATTGAACATAGAGAAGTGATATCTTGGAATGAACTAATAATTTCTACTTTAAAAGAGAAATAATCACCTCCCAAAAGGAATGTATAACGATATGTAACCCTGTCCCCAGCTTAGAAATAGTAGACTGAATATCAATGAGCATCTGAAAGAGCAGACTTGATGCTGCAGAGCACACAGTCAAGAATCCTAAAAATACATTAATAGAGGAAATCCTAATTATATAAATGGGTATTACAGGTCTAGAATCATAATGCTAAAAAACAGAAAAAGAGTGTCCAATTTAGAACTAATAAGGACGAGAGAAAAAAAGGAAAATCCNCGGGTATTACAGGTCTAGAATCATAACGCTAAAAAATAGAAAAAGAGTGTCCAATTTAGAACTAATAAGGACAAGAGAAAAAAAGGAAAATCCCAGGACTGTACAACTCATGATCAGAGGGGGGAAAAATCAAAGAAAAAATTTTTGAAGTGAGAGAGAACATCAGCCCGGCTAACAAGAGAGGGCACAGAGAATTTCTCAGCAATTATTCTTAAAGGGTGACCCCAGACACTTATTTGTCAAGTCTTAAACCTTTAAAGATAAGACCTTACATTCTGCCAAGAAGAAAGGAGGTATAATACAAGAATGCTTTGGAGCTCATCTTTCAGATCTCCAAGAAGGGAGAAGCTAAAAAGAAAAAAAGAATTATAAATACAAGAACTCAGATAAATCTCCTTTTAAGACAGATAATATATTAAGACACAGAAGCCCTAAGGTAACGTCAGCAAAGTCCTACAGCTGTTAAGATAACCACAAGAAACAACACATTTTTGAAAGCAGATTGAAAAGTACTTACTTTCTAAAAGGTGAAAGATATTTTTCAAAGTAATAAACCATGAAGAAAGGGTGAAATAAATTAAAATGCAACCAGTACACCTGACCACATACTGTGAGAATAAAGGATAAATATGTAAAAAATAAATTAAACTATTAACTATACCAACAAAAAATTAATGTGGCAAGATTTTTAAATGGCTACAAATTCTTTGTGGCTACTCCCATCAAGACATGGAGTCTCTTTCTCACTCTGTGAATCTGACTGGCCTTGTGACTTGCTTTGCAACAGAAGGGATGCTGTGTGACTCACAAATCTAGCCCTGAAGATACCTTGAGGCTTTTACTCTCACCCTCTTGGAAATGAACAGCAGCTAAGTGAAGCCTGGGCTCATCTAGAGGCACATGGCTCAGAAGACAACCAGCACTACACCTTAGATATGTGAGTGAGGCCATCTCAGACCACCCAGCCCGAGTTAGCCACCAGATGACAGGAGCCACATGAGTGTCCCCAGGTGAGAACGAAGAGAAGTGCTCGGCTTAGCCCAGCCCAAATTACTGACTCACAGGACTGTGGATAAAGGAAATTGTTATTTAAGCCACTAACTTGTGGGGGAGTTTATTACACAGCAATAGATAACAAATAAAATAAGTGAGAGAAAAACAGGGAGATGCACCAAGAAATTGATTCTTATCTCCACTAGGAAGGAGGTTAATGTTTCTTGGTAAAAACACAAATTATTAACATAAACAATACAAATGTTTGTGTTAAAATGTGTTAATGTTAAGTATGTAGAAAAAAATATTGATTGAAATCACCATCTTAGTTAGAAAGGAAAGAAAGCTTAAGGTCCGAAACTGAACATAAATAAAATGGGGGGGGGGG